TTTATTTGCTTGTTGTTAAATATAGCTTGATACATATTTTATTTTTCTATATGCTGGGTAAAAATAAAAATTATTAGGATAAAATATAGGCTAAATTGCACAAAATCTACTTGTGGTTTTACGAAATTGCGCCAAACCCCCTATACTTTTAAAACTGCGTCAAACTCCCTCGTGGTTTCATAAACTCTGCGTCTAACCCCATCGACGGTCTTTATTTAATGATATTTGATCTAAATGCGCTCAAACTGCGAATAAATTTTAGAATATCAATTTCTAAACCCCTAAAATGACAAATATATTTATTTTTCTTATATTTACGCTAAAAAAACAGTAAAAATAACCTCTTAAAATCTGAAAAAAAAAAATCAATTATTTTTTAGTACATTTACTATTTTTTAGACTAAATATAAGAAAAATGAATATATTTTTAATTTTAGGGGTTTAAAAATTGAGATTCTAAAATTTATTCATTGTTTGGGCGCATTTATGCCAAATACCATTAAATAAGGACCGCCGAAAGGGTTAGACACAGAGTTTATAAAACCATGATGGAGTTTGACGTAGTTTTAGAAGTATAGGGGATTTGGCGCAATTTCATAAAACCACAGGTAGGTTTTGTGCAATTTAGTTTGATAGTTAGAAATCGTATGTGTTAAGTGTTCATGTTATAGGCGATATTTGATTGATTTTGATTGAATTCTACATAATTTCGGTGCGTATTGTTTATTTCCGACATGCATGAGAGAAAAGGCAAATTTGGCGTGATTGGGAGAAAAAGTGAAGAAAATTTCAGATTTGCACCCCCGAGTTAGTCATGACCATGACTAACTCCACCCTCTTGACATGTGAATTTAATTAAAGGGCCAAAAAGCCCAACTGCTAAAAAAAAGGCAAAATTAAAAGAAAAAAAAGGCAAAATTAAAAGAAAAAAAAACAAGCAGAGAACGGCAGAAAGATGACGGCTAGAAGAAGAGGAAAGGACAGCCAGGGAGAAATTACGCACAAGGAGTAGGAGACTGACAGACTCATAGATCGTGCCAGGAGCAAATCGACAGAGAAGATTTCCCCTCCCACTATGACTTTATCTTTCCCTTTTGTTCTTTGCTATTTAATTATGGAGTAGTTACTTTTCTGGTTTGAGGAATGATAATGTTTGGTTCTTGTGTTTTGGAAATTTTTAATTTTTTTTATAAAAGTTCTTTTTTATTATCAATATTTGTTTAATCCTCAAAATAACGTTTGTGATTCTTAGATTAATAGGATATTTGGTACCGATATTTAAATTGGTATGATAATCTAAAGTCAATTCAGGTAGGATATACGTAATTATATCCGTATTTGAATACGTGACAACCGGGTTGAATAGTTCCTTCCGAGGGGTTAAAAGATCAAACCTAATTGCTCTTCTTTGTTTGAATTGGATTTTTCTATATTAGAATGCGATTAGGCAATATTTTCTATGGGAGCACATAGGTTTATTAGCTTAATTAGGGGTAGTTAACGGTCGTACCTTAATTACCTATACTGCAAGTAAAAATTGGTTATCAGAGTTTGTTGATAACTATAACCAATTTACTGATACTTTAATAAGAACTAATTTTATTGAATCAATGATGAAAACACAAGTGCCATGACTGCATCATCCCCTTGAGCCAGGCACCCCCTTGATATTTAATTCCCAGTTGATTTAATTGCTTTGTTATTTTGTCTTCATTAGATAATAAAAAAAAATTCTCCTTTTTTATTTACTGCATTAGAACACGAAAGAGTGAATACACAATCCATGTGGAGACGATCCCTTCCCCTATATTACAGTAAATTGTGATAAAGGAATAGGTGAAATATTTGATTGATTGTGTGACAGGTCAATTTTTTACGTCATTGCCGGGGATTGACACTTTGTTTTACTCTTTTGTTTTATTTTCATTTATCCTCTTGTTTATGCCCCGTTCTTCTCGTACAGGTGAATTGATATTTAATCTTGAAAACGAGAAGGTTGAGCGAAAGCTGCGAAAGGAAGCCAAACAACGAAAAGTTGTTCAACTTGCAAAGCTGACAGAATCTTTAAACTACCTCAGAATTTCTAGCTCTAGCGACTCTGAAAGTGATCGAGAGACTGTCATGGCTAAGGATACCCACACTTTAAGGGAGTTGGCTGCTCCCGACTTGGCGCAGCAGCCCTTATGCATTAAGTTTCCAACTCTGAATAACATTATTTCTTGGTGTGCTCCAGCATGAAACCATCAGGTATTACTGACTAACAGATCAAACTCAAAGTCTTCTCATTCTCACTCAAAGATGCTGCAAAGGATTGACTCTACTATCTCCCACCAGGAAGCATCGACACGTGGAACGACATGAAAAAAATTTTTTTGGAGAAGTACTTTCCAGCTTCCAGAGCAGCGATTCTGATTAAGAAAATATGTGGCATCAAACAACAATCAGGTAAAACGCTCCCTGAATATTGTGAGCGATTTAATAATTTTATCATTAAATGCCCACAACATCAAATTCCCCCTTAATTATTGATTCAATATTTTTATGATGGTTTGTCATTGATGGACAAGAACATCATTGATGCCGCAAGTGGTGGAGCTCTAGTAAATATGACGCCAGCACAAGCTTGGAATCTTATTGCAAGGATGGCTGAAAACACGTAGCAATTTGGTTCGAGGGATATTGGACAGACGAGCGGAAACAACAGCGACCATGCTATCCAATCGATGCAGCAACAACTTTCTAAGTTGACGAGCTTTGTTCATAAGATGGTCGTGGAAAAATCTAACCCGAGTGTCCAAGTCAAGGCGTGTGGAATATGTAAAAGTGCAGGAGACCCTATAGATGCATGTCCAACCCTCCAAGAAAGATGTGCAGTAAATGTGAATACTGCAAACTACGGTGTGAATAGACCTCTAGCGTACAATCCATACTCCAACACCTACAATTCAGGCTGGAGAGATCATCCGAACCTACGCTACGGAAATGCATAGCAGAATCTTGGTCCTCAACCATTCGGATTCACACACCAAATACAACAACCTCGTTCTTATGAGAAATAGTCTCCCCAAACACCCATGAGTAACTCCAGTCCGTCTTTGGAAGACTTGGTGAAGCTGTGGCTACCATTACCTGGAATAATATGAAAAGAAAAAGTGAGAAAAAAAAAATACTATAGGAAGAAAAGAAGACCGTTACATAATTATTAGCATTTACTTTACACCTCTAAATTAATATAAGCTCGTCTATAATCCAAAGGGTATTAGCCATTTTTAAAAAAATCATGTATATCCGGACCATTGATGACGTAGAAGACACATTGATGCGACACGTTTAAACATTCCACAGCGTCATCATAACAATCACGAATGACGTAACACCACGTGTGGCGTTTTCACGCAGCGGAACAGTCCACAAGCATCCAGAAGAACCGGTCCGTATATATTTGAATTTGACAGCAATGCCCCTCCAAAGAACATCCTGAACGTTCCAGAAATATCCTTTCCCTTCCCCCTCCCCTCGTTGCTTCAATTCCCAGTTTGTATATATATCGTCGCCGTTTCACAAATCCAGACAAATTACACCCAAAAAAATTATCTTCAGCCCACAATCGAGCATCTGCGCGCCAGTTTCTGTGCGATTGGATTTTGCTATGGGTCCGTTTCTTGGAAATCGGAGTTGGTACCAGCACCCTGATCCTCGCAATGCTTTCTCTCATGCTCCGTCCTACCGTAGCGTGCCCGTTCACCGAGTCGATCCATGGGAGACGTGTGTGCCCGTTCATCCTGGCCAGCGCCCTGCCGAGAAGAGCCGTAGCCAGAAAAAAGTTAGGATTCCTGTTCAATCTGTCGGAGCGCGGAAGGTAGATCGTTCAGCGTCCGCCTCGAAGATACAGAAGGTCTTCAGGGGATTTCTAGTGCGGAAGTGTTTGAAGAAGATCAAGGATATTAAGTTTCAGGTGGATGCCATTGAAGAGAGGCTGTCGAAGAGTGAAGTCGTGGAGCTGATTCGGAAGGACGAGAAGGAGCGACTGAGGATGAACGAGACTCTAATGTCTCTGCTGATTAAGCTGGATTCGATTGGCGGGTTGGACTTTGGTGTCAGGCAATGCAGGAAGGCGGTTATTCGAAAGGCGATTGCGCTTCAGGAGAGGATTGATGCCATTGCTGCGAGTGATGCCAAGGAAGATGGTGAGAAAGAGACCGTTCATGCGGATATTGAAGTTCCTGCCCCAACGGATATGGATGACACCAATCAACAGGCTAATCCAGATAACCCTAATGATTTGTCGGAAACACAGACAACCTTGGAGAATTCCGTCCATCATCCTGAAATGCCAGAGATTTCAAGCGCTGGTTCGAGAAATGATGAGATAGATGTTGGGGTAGACAGTGAGGTAAAGGTGGACGAATCAAAAGGGGTTGGGTCTGCTGATCAGAATCCTTGTTCATTTGCAGAAACAGGGGGGAGTACGAAAGACAGTTACAATGGCAACGAGAAGGGCAGTGGGGAAGATGAGAGCAAGAGAAATCGAGAGCTGCTAGAGAGGATGATGGAAGAGAACGAGAAAATGATGTGCATATTGACACAGTTGGTTGAAAAGAATGATGCTCAGACCAAAATGCTCAACGCCTTGACACATCGGGTGGAGGCGTTAGAAAGGGCATCTGCCTGTGAAAAGCAGAGGAAGAAGAAGAAGAAGCAGAATGCCCCTCCACGCAGGGAAGATTGAGACTAATCTGGTTCACATTCCTCCCCTCTGTTAACAGTTAAACTAGAGTTGAATGTGACTATGTACTCACGAGTTCTTATGGCCTTGCCTTTAGCTTTAATTTTCTTGTTTGTTTGTCACTGCTCTACTTGTGATTGCCGTAGTTGAATCGTTAATGGGAAATCTGGCTTTTTTTGTTAATATGGGCTCCTACTTCTTTTACATGGATATGGTATTAGAACTTTCTTGGCTTCAGTCACCATAATTTGAACATATGTCTATTGGCCAATTCTTAAGGATCAAACATGGGATGTAGAAATAAATTACATTAGGCAGGCCTTAGCGATTGGTGTCGGGGGATCGGAAAATGAACCATCGAGTATACGGTCGGCGATCCACTGGTTTGCAGCTTGAGTGTAGTGTAGGCCATTCCAGCTAATATGTGATTCTGGGGAGTCACAGGAGGTACCAAAGATTTCTAAGCCGTTAATAATTCTCCTTTGTCCACACCAGACACTGATGTTTCTTTCATGATGTCCGCAGCATATCTTCATAGGGTCCATGAATCCTGTGGAAGATAGTCTTACTGAGTATTAACTGCATTCAAATCTTGTCTGATTGAGTTAGAAATCTTTCTAATGAATGCACAATGTTTTGAGTTCGACTGACCATAGTTTTTGGCATTGCTGATTAGGTGATATTTGGCAGAGTATACATCGACGTAGACGAGAGAAGCTTGTGGAAGTTCTTTCCTAAGTCTGATGACTCTGCCTTTGAGCTGTCTGTTGTATTCAATAGCCATGGCATTCTGGCCACTGATGCATCCATATTTGTCCAGGAATCCGCGCTTCGGGTTGCTAACATTGAAAGTTGCTGCCGGGAGACATCCAACTGGTCCCGTGTTGTGAATCCAGAAACTCCTCGCCCCTTGTCGATATAAATGCTGTACAGATCTTCATAATTGATCAACTGCTGAAAGCACTGCAAATGAGATCAGAATTGCAAAAGGAACTCACTGTGACTGCTGCAGCAAGCTGATCAATGATGTTTGGGATTGCAGCAAGAAGTTGGGCTTCAGTTAGCATTCTTAAACCAGCAATAAGGTCATTCTCGCCAATGTCGAATGTGTACAAAGCCCTTGAGAACTCTTGAGGCTTCGAAAGCTTACAACCGTTGGATTCTGCAACATCAGAAGAAAACAGTTAGAAGGAAAAACCAAAAGGTTTATCCATGTATGAACAGTAGCAGTTAACCTCTCTGTTGTAGTTTGCTTGCTTTAGCTTTAAATTGATCGAACTGCGCGATTTGGACATCCAGCGAGAAGGGACTTGTCCCGAGCTCAACCATGGTTTTGTTCTGTCCACGTATGGTTGATCTGCCAGCAGCGAAATTCACACCCTGCCGGTAACTTGTGCTCAACCAATCAAGGTATGGATTTAAATAAGGCAGCCCCAAATGCTCAGCTGATCAATGATCCAAAACTTATTTTAGCAATATTCTATTGTCAAAAATAGTCGCCATTGATCGTAAATCTTTTCGGTACCTATGAAGTCTATGATTAGGCGACCATCACATTCTCTTCCTGCAGGTCTCCCAAAGAAGCTTTCACCATTGGGTGGGGGAACCAGGTCGAATGCCGCAGAGCTTCCACCTGTGTCCGAATTCGAGTCTCCGAAGTTGTATATTGCTGGGAAACTGCACTGAGGTACTGCTGCATCCAAAGCTGGTGAAACTAGCAAAACAGTAAGGATCAGGACTTTTGTTGCATCTTCTACCATGGTTGCTCTCTCTCTAGACGAGCCCATGAACAAGAAACTGAAACTGTGAGTATGCATTTTGAATATGCTTTGATAAAGTAAGCAATCGAGCTTGTTCACAGAAAAAATGTGATGTATTTTGGTAATGATTTTCCAGGTTTTAAGCATTGTTCTTGCACGATTTTCTTCCTGTTTTAAGATCAGATCTTATCTGTAATGATTCTAATTTAAGTTCAGGACAGGTTGGATTAACTTTTGACGAAATCAGTCAAGCCCAAAAGCAAAATTGGAGCTAGGCAGCTGATTGGGGCAGCTGTGATGGTGAGTATCTCCAGTAAAACCCCATATCATCGTGCCACCACCATTTTGGTTTTAAAAATATATATTTATTCGGGAAAAAAAAATTAAAATTAGTCTCACTGTGAATAAAATTAATCAATGGTCTCATTATAAAAAAATTCATCAATTTTAATCCCTTGATCAATTGTATTCATAATGGGACTAGCTTTGATTTTTTCCCGTATTTATTCATTTGAACAAGTTATGTAATTTTAGGTGGGCACAAAAAATTAAGAATTGAAGTTTATTGTTATAAATTTTGAGAAAAAACTAATAAGATTGTCTTATTTATCGAGTTTATATATAGACTATACGAAACGAATTCGAATTCACTGATCGTTAGATTACAAAACGAATTCATTGATCGTCAAATCTAAGTAATTTATGATCAAATTTAAATATAAATGTACTAAATTTAAAATCGAATATCTAATATATGTTAACAATATCAAAGTTGGACAATAAAATATAAAATGAATTATTATGAAAATTTTATTAATGGGTATAATAAAATAAAATTACATAATATTATAAAATATATGTTATGTGTATAAAATTTATGGTATATAGGAAACTATGTAGAGAATTCACTTTCATCAAATTAGTTCACTTTTTCTTTTTTTAAGCCGTCCACGAAATTAGTCCATTTTTCCACTATAGTAATAATTAATAACTAATATTTATAGTTAAAAAACTTAATCATATTTTATTAATTTCTATACATATTTTTAGTTCTATTATTTGTTTAGTTGTAAATTTAAAAGTTGGACTAGAATTTTGAATAATAAATATATATTTAAGATGATATAAATAGATATACATGCAATGTTTAAAATTTTAATTATTTTAATTTAATATAAAAAAAAATGAATGTTAGATTTGAAATTTTATGGTTTTAAAATTAATTAAAAATGAGATTTGATTTTGAATTATTTTCTTTGTTCATGTAATGATTTGATCTTTTAGTTTTTAATTTTGTTATTTCGACATTAAGCATTATATTCTAAGTAGTTTATAACTCGTCTTATACACGGGTGATCCGGCTAATTTCGTTTTCAATTTGCAGATATTCTAAGTAGTTTATAACCCGTCTTATACACGGTGATCCGGCTAATTTCGTTTTCAATTTGCAGATAAACTTAACGTGATATTTAATTTAATTTTAATATTTAAATAATAATTTTTATTTGACAATAAAATATTGTATAAAGAGAATCAAAATTAATTTATATAAAAAAATCATAAATAAAAAATATAAAATACTGTAACTAAACCAAATAAAATTATTAAATAATTAAATCAAAGTTTTATAAAAATATATATTCTAATTTAAATTCAAACATAATATAGATAACTATAATTATTCATAATGATTCTTAAATTAAAAATCAAAATAAATTTTTTAAAAAATTGTACCTATCAATGAGAAAGAAAAAATTTATTAATATTTTGTTGTGGTTTATATACTATTGTTAACTTGCCGTTAAAAATAATGTTCAAACAGTATACTAAATAATATATATAGAGTAACAAAAACAAACAAATAATATTAAATAGGTAAATCATAAATTAAATAAAACATTCTAATAAATTTAAAAGTAAATTCGTATTTATTGATATATAATACCATAAAAAATTTAGCTACGTAGTATATATAAAAAATATATAAAAAAACAAAAAAAATCTTTTATGAACACTTTCCATTTTTTAATCTCATATAGGAACAATGATGTTCAGTACATGTATCTTTTTTTAAATAAAAAAAAATCCACTCTCTATATCAATAAATAAATAAATAATATGTAAAATATTAATAACAAATAAACAATAAAGAATTTATATTTACAATACAATTAAAAAAAAAAAAAGCAAAATAGCATACTTTTTTTCAAACAAACAAATACATAATGCTAATAATATTATTTAATTGCTAATAATATTAAAATAAATCTGTAAAAATTTCATGTTGTCAATCTCTTCATCTTTGATCGTCTCATAAAATTAATTTCATTTGAATATGATAAGTAATAAACTAAAAAAATTAATATAAAACTTATAAAATAGTATTGATAGAAAAAATGATGCAAAAATATCTAAATAAATAAAAAAAAGTATTAGAACAAAATTAAATTTTTTTTTTCTTAAATTTACTGTAATTTTTTATGTGATTTTTCTAAAATGTTTTACCGTATGAAAAAGATCTACAAAGTTGAAATAAAAAAAAAATATTAGAATAGTAATATTAGTAATATTCAAAATTAATTCGACGATAAAAACTGTTGCATATCTAATACTCAAAATCAAATCAAATCAATTCAAAATTTTAAAAATACACATACATTGTATTTTCTTTTACTTCTTTCAGCGTCTTTCATTCTTTTTATTTTCTGCACAATAAATAAGAATGAATCGATTAGTAAAAAAAAAATAAAAAGAACACGATAGATAATTTTGCACAATCATTTAAATTAAAATTTAAAAATCAAACTAAAACTGATTGCGGTGTTATAACGTCTTTATATACAGAGAACATGCAAACAAATGTTATAACGTCTTTATATATACAGAGAACATGCAAACAAAACCGTAATTATGACTATATTATCGGATTATTTTTTATACCAACAAATTAAAATTCTATCCAAAATATTTTTGTTAACAAAAATTTATAAATTGTCCAAATCTATTTAAAAAATTAAAATAATTTATATAAATTTTAAAATTATTTTTTTAATCCAAATTTTTCTAAAATTATGAGAACACAAGAATTATAATGTTTTATCAAATATATATATGATATATGATATGATATTTTATTTGTTATGTTTATTATTATTCTCTAGAGCATATGTGAATTTTTTTTTTTATGATCATATTTTTAGTTGTTTTATAAATTTTAGAAAGTTAAAAAAAAAATGAAATTATTTTAAAAATAAAATAAAATTCTAAAATAATCCAAAAAAAAAGTAAAATTATTTTAAAAAATAAAATAATTTCAAAAAAATTATGAGTGTAAAAATGAAATGTCTTTGTAAAATATATATATACTAAAATATATATATACACACACTTATTATGTATTAATATGATATTTGATATGCTATGCAGTTTATTTTGAAAAAGACAAGTCCAGGACTTTAGATTTTCTCATTAGTTTTCTTTTAATTTTATTTCTTTTTATTTCATTTACTTGTATTCTTGTTTTTTATTTTTTCCTTTTTTCCTTTTTTTTTGCTTTGTTTAATTTACTGACTAATTTTTTTTTTCATTTTTAAAAATTTTCTTTCATTTATTTTGTCAAAACTTTTTTAATATATTTTTCAATTTTTTTGAGAAACCCGAGAATCCATCCCATTTTTTATTAACTTTTTGTGCCACAACACTAAAATATATATATTATATATATAAAATATTTAATTCAATCATAGAAAATTTATAATTGAATGCAAAATATTTCATACTTTATATAAAAGTACATTTATTAGAAAACTTTTATTTTGGTTTTGACATTTTATCCAAATAGTCACTTGGATAAAATATTTAAAAAAAAAAAAAAAAAACTCCACTAAACATTAGCCATTTATTCCAAAAATTAAAAAAAGAAAAAAAAAAAAAAATTCTACTGGAGACACACCCAAAAGTATTTGTTAGAATTAAGGTTAAACATAATTGATCCCAAAGTCCAAAGCCCCGAAGGGTTTATGCCTTGCGTTGGCTGCGCTGTTTCCTTCTTTCTTTCTTTTCGTGTTTCTATATAGGGAGGAGTATTTTACTTCATCCCCAAATCTCAATCCCAATCCCAATCCCCCAAAGACCTTTTCCGTCAGTTCACGATGCTCCGCCGTGCATTCTCAGGTTTGATTCCTCCATGTCTTTACTGATTGGAACAGAGCGGACCCTTAATTTGTTTTTCAAAATTCCTTGCTGTGTTGTGTCCTCAGGAAATCAACGGGCATTAGTTCGAGCACTAGGACATCGGAGTTTCACGGCACCTTCTGAGGAATATTTGAAGCGAAATTATGCTAACAATGAGGCTGAATACAATACCGTCATCAGTTCTCTCACTTCACAGAGAAGGTTTCTTCTCTCCTTGTTTAGAAATGTCCTACTTTTATTTATTCTTCTTCTGATGATATGCAACGCGAGCCTGGGATTGGGAACGTAAATGTTTTAGAGCTTCAATTCCCCTTTGAAGGAAGAAGATTAATTTCAAATACAGTGATTACACTAGTGTATATGATGTGTGTGATGACTGATGAATGTTTGACTGATGTGGGGGAAAAAATTGGTAGGCATTATTTGTTGAGGGATGTCTACGATGATATGATGCTGGATGGAGTCAAGCCAGAGAGGGATACCTTCCACTCTCTCATTGTGGGAACCATGAAAGGCTCTCGAATGCAAGATGCCTTCTTTTTCCGAGATGAAATGAAAGCCATGGGCTTAGTTCCCGGTGTATGTTACTTCCTATTCTTTCTGTTCATTTAGATATTTCAGATCTTGTGCCTGTGATAATTTGGATGTCTATGTTAGTGGCTGCATACTTATTTGTTGCGTTTGCTAATGTGTTAATTATGTGTATATGTTTATGTTAATCTAGAGTAGGTTTTCCAGATTATGCTGTATTGAAAATATACAAAAAACATTATGCTTTCCTAGTTCGATAAATACCTACATCGAGAAGACATAAACATTACTTGATTATTTAGGGAGTACATTATGATCATCTCAAGATAGCACACCTCTTAACTCATAACCAAGGTGCTAGTCTCTGTTATGAGTTAGGGTTATCGAAGAGAGAATTTATTCGAATCAATGGAAACAATGGAAATAGAGTACCATAATTTGTTCCGTAACAAGAAACTAAAATAATGACCGCCTAACCTAATATGATCTAGATGTGCCCTATATATGGGCAGATTTATGGGCCAAGCCCAAGACTCATAATCAACAATTAAACCGTAAATAAAATAATAAGAGAAATAATAAAGAATAAAATAATAATTATCGCGGTGTTTCTTCATCTTCTAATATAAATCTTGACTTTACCCAACTCCATAACAACTCCATTCCTCTTAAAAACCGCCTTGTCCTCAAGGTGGAAGACAGGAAACTGGAAGCGCAATTCCTCTTCATCAACCAAAGTCGAATCCTTGTACTTTAGTCCACGCCAATGTATCAAAACTTGAGGAATGAGCTTGTCACCTTTACCGCCATTTGTTCGAGCTCTGTGGATCTGACCTCATCTTCTGTCCACACTTCGACCTCGTCCATCTCTTTGAGCTCGGCCACCCAATTCGTGTCTGGGTCCACCACACAAGTTCGAAGGGACTTGCTTGTACACTTATGCAATGGTGTATAAGGCTTCTTACAACGATAACAAAGTTGCTTAGATTGACACTAGCGATACTCTTCACGACTTAGTTTCTGGAAGGGAACTCGCACAGAGGATTGGTCCGAAGCCCCCGGGCATCCGCTAGTGGAGCTGCTGTTCGTGCCTGGTCTATTGCTCCTGATGCCATTCCCAAGACTAAAGGGACCTACCGGAGGTCCAATTTGCGTTCCACCGCTAAGGCACGAACTCGCAAATTGACCAGGCGGTTGTCCAGGCTGTTGAAACATTGTTGCAGAACCAACATTGAATTCCCACTCAATGCTACGGCTCATCTGGATAGTTGAGTCCAAATCTTTACGGTCTAGTGTTCTCAGACGATTGCGGATGTTCTGCTGCAATCCCTCCATGAAGTATCCGAGGTAATGCTCATCCGTTAGACTTGACACCTGTATTGCAAGTTGGATGAACTCGTTGATATGTTGATCAACTCCCCTTTTTTGCCGAAGTGTGGCAAGGCGCTTGAAAGGACTCCCTATATAACGATCATCAAAACAAAGTACTAGGGCTTGGGAAAACTCCGCCCAAGTGGCGGTTGGGTGGCGAAAGTGTTGCCATCGAGACCAGTGGAACGTTGTACCCTCTATGGCGATGCGCGCTAATGCTACATTGAGTTCTATTCGCACCCGGTGGAGTTCAAACTGTTGCTCAGCGCGAGCAACCTAACCAATAGGCTCTGTCCCGTCAAATGGTGGTAGTCTGACTTCTGAGAGGGGTGGGGTGGTGAAGCTACCGTGGCGGAGAGTCACCCCTCCTAACTGTTGAGAATCCGGCGCCAATGGATGCTGCGGCATGATCGGCGAAGCTAAAGGTGCCGGGAAATAAGTCGGTGGCTGACCCGCTGACGCGGCGGCGTTAGCCCCGCCGCTAAGCTTTGCCTTGATCGTTGTGAGCAACTCTTGCTGCAACGAAACCATCTTATTCGTGTTCTGTTTTTCCAAAGTCTCGAGCTTAGCGGAAAGATCCCGGCGGATCTGGTCTACCTCCTCCTGTATTTTTCCAACAGTTGCTTCCAATAGCTTGAATCGTTGTTGATTGAAGATGGACATGATTCCGTCAGTAGAGGATCCGAAAAATCGGACCAATTGTTATGACTTAGGGTTATCGAAGAGAGAATTTATTCGAATCAATGGTAAAAATGAAAATAGAGTACTAAAGAGGAAAACTAATTCGCTCTGTAACCAAAACTAAAATAATGACAGCCTAACCTAACATGACCTAGATGCGCCTTATATATAGGCGGACTTATGGGCCAAGTCCAAGACTCATAATCAACAATTAAATAGTAAATAAAATAATAAGATAAATAATAAGGAATAAAATAATAATGATCGTAAGTGAGTCTGGTGCTTCTCCCTCTTCTAATATAGATCTTGACTTTACCCAACTCCATAACAGTCTCCTGCTATTTATATTGCAATCACACCAACTTCATCAGTGTGTTATGGCCCAATTCCAAGGCTTTGAGCCTCGTCATTTCTGTTTTTCTAAAACTTTTACTGACCTCTGATGGATGTTAGTGTAATGATTTAGTAATAGACTGGATGTGACATAATCCCTCAACCTGTGATCTCATATTCTGTGCACCATGGTTATCAATTTGTTTCCCAATTGTTGATTTAGGTACTACCAACTGAAACTATTCTCTAATTATCTATGTAATGGTTTTGTAAGTCACCAAAACATAAATATAACTGAATAGACCTAGTGTTGTTGAATTACTTGAAGTGATTGCTGCATGGTGATTGCAAGGAAAAAGGGTTAGTTATTACACACCATTCTTGTGATTTTCCCCCCTTTTTTATTTAGGTTTTTTCATCACTCTCTTTCAATCACTGTCCTTCACAATCATTCTTCTTTCTTGTATGCTACATCCCACACCAGCTGTACAAAGATGGATCTATGTTAACACCATACAAAGATTTGTAGCCTCCAAATACCTTAGAAACAGTTATTATGGTTGGCCAGAGAATTCTCCATTAAGTGATTTTAATTTGAATATTTATTTTATCATGTTTTTTTAGATATACCTCCAAAATCACCATCTTCATGAAAAATATTTGGCACCATTCAGCTACAGTAAACCTGAGCTAATTCTGTCTTCTCTAATTAATTCAGATAGGTAACTCGTCCATGTTATATGTGTGGACAGTGGCACAGACTATCCATTTGTTTCTTCATGATCATCCATTTTATCTCCGACTTCTTATACAATGCCAATAACACTCTCAACGTTTTCTCTGTCTCCATGATTGTGCCTTGTAGTAGCCACTAGCTGAAAAAATGAGGACATGTAAAGTCATCAAAACAAATTCAATATCCCATATAGTCCAGGATCAGGGCTGGCATCTGTTGTTCTGAATATATATGCTGACCTTGTTGCTGAGAGCTACATACATTGATAAAAAATATTTTCTTTCCTCAGGTTGATTTATACAACTATTTGATATCTACATGTGGAAAGTGCAAGAATTCAGATCAGGCAGTTCGGGTATTTCTACTATGTTTTGACTTTCAAGTGTTTAATTAAGTGTGTTAAGAGTTAATGAGACTTCGTTATTGATTTTGTTGCCTTTGAATTGAAGCTTCTTGATGAAATGAAGATATATGGAGTGAAGCCCAATGCACAAACATACATATGCCTGCTTCATGCATGTGCAGCATCCGGGAGATTAGATAGAGTGTAAGCTTAGTTCTTGGGATAATTGTAGTATATGATTTGCAGCATTTGAGGTTTTTCTTTCCTGATTGGTGTTATTTATTTAATAAAGATTTGCCACATGCGGGGCTCTTCTTAAAATTATTCTCTGATTTTGCAGATATGCAATAGTTCGAGATATGACTGCTGCTGGTCTTGGTTTGAACAAATTCTGCTATGCTGGAATTATAGTTGCACACAAGAACAAGTCAAGTCTTTCTGATGACACAGGTTCCAAAGTAATGGTCATGTACACCTGTAAAATTTAATTTTGGGTGCTTGCAATTCCTTTATGAATGCGGAAAATAATAAATCAGCTCTTTTAGATGATGCAAGATCCAAAGTATAATGATCATGTACCTTAAGAATTTCATTTTTCGGTGCAATTTCTTTTGTACATCTGATAATAAGATTTATTATGTCCTTTCTGGAAAAGATTTTGGAGCTTGTTGAGCAGTCCAAAGGATGGTCCTCAATTGATCAAACAAGAGACACTGCTGAAAATGTTATGATGGGTATTTCTGAAGAAGAGTTGTATAATCTTCCTACTGCTGAATATGTTCATCGCCGTGGTGGATTCATAGCCAGACAACTGACTGTGTATCACGTTGCATTTCATGCTTTTGCTGATCTCAGGGATGTCAAGGTAACAAGTTTAGAGTTTGTTTGTTTCCATTTTTCTCTTGATTTTACTTCTCCTGCTTTTATAATATTGGTTGCATTGGCTCATGTTATGACTTCAGTTATCAATATGGGGATCCTGTTTTCATTTAAACATAAGTGCCTGATATAGTGGTTGAAGAACCACATACTTTGTATGACAACTACCAATCTTTTTCATGTTGAAAGAACAAGCGCACTTGTGGCATATATGTGTTTTCCACTCTGCAGTGCTTGCTCAAGTCTGATATTTGGAAAGTAACTCAGCCTTCAATCATTTATTTAATTGTTTGAATTCTTGCAGGCTACTGATAAACTCTTGGAGATTCTTGAGAACAATGGAAAATCTCCTGATGTTTTTATATTGATGCAAATTATGAGGTAGTCTTTGTTTGACCGCTCACCTACTTATGACATGCACATTTTTCCTGTGTGTTTCAGCTCTTCCATTTTATTATACAGGATATACTACCTGTTGAGTGTTTTGGATAATTGTTGTTATAATTTGTTTCCTCGTACTATATGTCTAGTAGATTTTGATGCTTTGGTACAATATAAATTTCATTGCTTTAAAGCTACAATTTGATGTTATTAACATTGTACACTTGCTCCATTGATGTTATTAACATTGTACACTATATGTCTAGTAGATGTTCATGCTTTGGTATAATATAAATTTCATTGCTATAAAGCTACAATTTGATGTTATGAACATTGTATTTCAATAGAGCAAGTGCAATGGGAAAAGACATTCTAGAATAGTAAAATCAGGCAAGATACCCTTTCACTACAATCTCTTGAATTGGCTTATATCTGCACTTTACTCATATATAGTGGAAGTTGCTTCTAATATTCATAAATTCTATTGTTTGAGATATTTCTGGTCCCTTTGTCAACATGGACAACTATCTCTTACCAACCAAACATTTAAATTTGGCCATTATATTGAAGTGGCTTTCCACCTGTCCTAATTAAGTTTTGGGTTGAAAAGCTAAGTTAATTCCAACAATAATATATGAAGGCTCCATTCGGAAATGAAAGCTTTGGGATAGCCAAGTTTATACATAAAATCAAATGATACTGTAATTTTAATATCTATTTCATACATTCATTCTTGATTTTGACCATATTTATGATTAGAGAAGAAATGGCAAGGAAATGAAACTCTGATGTATTGCTTTACTGCCATGTCATTTCCTCCATAGAATTCATGGAATTTGGATATCAATGGCATGATTCGGACGCATTTTCCTATATCAATATGCTATGAAAGAACTACATTTGCTTCTTTATTCTGCAGAAGTTGATACTGTGCGCATAACTTATGTAGGTGTTATCTTCATGCTGGGGACATTGACCGTGGGGTGAAAGTTTTTGAGGACTACATGAATTCTAACAGACTACCTATGATTGAACTCTATGTGGTGAGTTTTGAAGTTAACCTTCAAATTTAGCATCTGTTATTAAACTATTGCCACATAGTTACCTTGCTAGAATATCTGTAACTTATTAATCCTTTACTAACATATTAATGTTTTCATTGCGATGACAATCTATTTGGTTTCTTTTTTTGCATAAGACCGTATATATCAGGTAACTGATGTGCCTTTTTATCTTTCTTCAGACATTGGCTGAGGGTGCAATGGTTGGTTATACTCCGAGGGGCATGCAACTAGCTCAAGATACACTGGTATGCTTCGGATATATGTAACTGTTTTGGCTGTGATGTAATTTGTTGACAGTTTCCTTGTAGTTGAGGTAGGTAGTCTGTTGGGGCGATTATATGTTGTTATATTTTGCCCTTCAGGTTCAAATGAATTCTAGGGGGTTCTTCTTGAATTTTAAAATGGGCAATGATCTCCTCCTTATTGCCTCCGGTGAAAAGGTATTTACCGACTTGTTTTACACTATCTATCAAATTTTATCTAATCGAGGGAGAATGACACAGCTGTCGTTACATTCTGTGCAGACTGGTGGTTTTACGACTGCCAACTTCATATGGGACATGATGCAAGCTCGTAATTTGACTCCATCGCTCCCTGCTGTGGAAGCATATTACAATGGTTTGAAGGCGAGTTACTTTAACTTAGGATGATATCGATCACTTGTTGCATGATTCAAACACAGATCTTGGGCTACTATTTCCTGTTTTGTTTATGAATTGATCTGTTACTTTCTACCTGCAGGAGAGGGATATACCTGAAGACGATCCACGGCTGATGTTGGTTTCGCGAACGCTCAACAATATTCGCCTTAGATTCGGACCCGGAAGTGGGAGATAAAACAAGATTTGGTTGAAAGAAAACATGCTTTTCCTCATTTTTGTGTTAGGCTGCCTGGCTGGCTATATATTTCTTCTTTCTTTTCTTATACTTCCTAGAATGTTGGTTCACGAGAATGCCTTTGGCCACTTAATTTAATTGCTTCAAAAATCTGTTTCAGATGATAGCTACCTGGCAATTTCGCATGGACATTTTTTGTCAATAAAATATAGAAGATGTACAGTAAATTTACTATAATAATTTAGATAAGTAATATACTGAACCAGTTTCACTCAAAATTAGCCCCTATAGCTCAGTGGTAGAGCGTCAGTCTTGTAAACTGAAGGTCTGTAGTTCGATCCTGCATGGGGGCAATAATTTATGTTTTTCCTAAAATTTTAAACTAAAAACGTGTTCAGTCCGGTATAAAATCGTGTTTGTTTTTACAGACCTTTGAGGTTCAAAGTGCGGTCCTCCTCCCTGTGTCTCAAAACCCTAATTTTTCACCTCCAATAGAAATTGGGGTATTTCGCATTACGTAGATCGTAGTTCCGCAGCTTATCTGATTGAATAGAGTGTGATTCATGGTTTATTTCTTGTGTTTCCTCTACTGCAAGAAAGATGGTGCCTCCAACGCTACAGAAACTACTCCTCCTCAGAGCCCAATCGCAAACAGCCGCTAAAACCTTTTCCCAGTTTCGCCGTCTGCCACTCCCTACATTGCTGCGGCCTGCGCTTTCCCAGGTCTCTGATTCTAATAATATTTTGTCGTTTCCGAATCCCTCCAAATCAGATTTTCTGAAACAAGATAGTTCCTTCGGTGGGCACTTCTACCCGAGTTTTTCTTGGGGGCTTTTTCTGAACCCGAATTCTCCGTCCCCGTTAGTTCGGTCTGAACTTGACGACGAATCGGTGGTGGATGATTCTCGTGTTATTAAAGCCGATAGTGTGAAGAAGAAGAGAAAAAAGAAGATGAACAAGCATAAGCTGAAGAAGCTGAGGAAGCGTCTCAGGAAGAGAACGTAGTTGATGGATTGTTATTTCTTCTAATTTTGACATTTGATTTTTTTTTGCTATAGAATTCCCCGCCTAAAGGTGTTTTGTTCCTATTCAGCATCGTAGCAATAATTCATAAATTTTATGATGCAAGTATCATTTTACCATTGCTGACAGAGGGGATGAATCACATTACGGATAGTTCATTATTTGCTCCTTTTATTGCCAGCATTGTATTGCCATTGCTCCTTCTATTTTACGAATTGATTCTCTACAGCTGATTGTACTACAGCTTATTTGGGAATAGATTTCGGTGGATTTTTTATATTTGTTGCAGAACTGAGGAGCATAGTACCAATGTGCTTAAGGATTTCTTAGTTATTTTCAGAGTGCTGGGTGATAATTTTCTGTAAAGCCTTGCTAACTGCATTCAAGGTTTCTGTACTTTGTTGTTTCAATTCTTAAATAGAACTTGGAGTATTAGTATGGAGTATGGAGATTGCTTGGCTGGAATGGATTTCACGGGCAAAAGTCGGTAAGCAGTGGGTAGGTTGCTGAGGTGGGAACCATTATGGCATGTTTAGTTACTGGAATTATATATAATACAATTATTACACAATCCTAAAATAAAAGTATGTCTAGCATGATTATTATGGAATCTCAATCAATAAGCATGGTCTTGGTACCTACTACCTATGTAATCGACACTATATATAGGTAGAATTTCGTGGAGACAGGTTTGCAAAATTGCCTAGATTTTGTTTATATAATCTTGCTTGTATGTTTTTGTTTGATGAAAGAAGTGTAATTGTAATCATACATCAATGGTCTACTTTGGGTCATTTTGCTAGGGATCAAGATGTAGTGCATCTTTGATATCAGTTGTCCTGGTATTATCATCGTGTAACTGTTAAAGAAAATGAGTTAGCTTTGCTATATTAGCTATGTATACTGTTTTGGGAATCATCAAAACTTGATCTTGTTCTTCATTAGAGCAATACTGTAGTGATCAGCTAGATTATGCCCTTGTTCTCCAAGGACATGATACGAAACTCCTGGGGGCCTGAGCACAGACTCAGCGTGCAATCTTATTTTAGAATTACAGAATCCTGAAGAGGGTAAAGATTCTGCGAGCTTGTGGATTCTCAGTGACCTGGTTTGGGATATTTTGGATTGGGCTTCAAGTCATGTCTTGTAGATCATTGGATGTAACAAGGATGGTTAGGATTTCTTGAACTATTTTCCTGTTTAAATTTTTAGGTGTTCCGTGGGATGAAAGATGAGGTTGGAATTGGGTTCAATAGCCTTGTGCAAATCCCTTGTCGGATATACAATATGACTCTTACAAGTATTTTATCATCTTCTTGTCCCATCCTTTTCCTAAAGCTGACTACAGATGCAGCTTGAATGCATATTTAAAATACAACCTATCTTCATCATCATACTAAGTCTCACATTTTTATATTAGAATGGCATATCCTTGTTCTAGTTACATTAATTGCAAGTTTTATGTTCTTATTAATTTGTATAGTAGTGTGTGCTCTTTTCAGTGGGAATGATGATCGTTTTAGAGCCATATAAACGTGCATGCTTTGGATAGGTGCAGGGATGGTCCTGACTAGTGTGGCGGAGATGGATGGCAAACCAGGTACCCAATCAGCTGGAACCTGCATTTCATGGCATGGCACCCAAGAATCTATACATAACTAGGGTCAGGTTTGTTGAGCTTAACTGAGCTTGCTTAATTGGATCCCATCTCTCCCCCTCCCCCCCCACCCCCCTTGTGATTATATGTTCATAATTAGGCTGTTATGATAGTAGAAAGCTTGGCTAGGTCGTAAAAATACTTAAGAAGTCGGGTAGGATCAGCTCGATAAAACTCCGTTTTGGGATCTGGTGGGATGTCCGACGAACGAAGGAATGCAGGTCTGATTCTGCTATAGTTGCCTTAGGGGTTCATAGATGAGGGCCTTGTCGGGAGGAGATAACTTTGAAAGAAATGTCTGTGGTGAGGAAGTGAAGTGGCTGGCTAGGTCTAAATATTAATTGCATTGCATAGGCTAGTCCCGATGTCCCTTTGTCACTCTCTCTCTCTTTCAGTTTGATCTTTTAGATCAACACGAGTTACTATTTGAGTTGCAGTGCGTTATTGTTCTCAATCACGTGCATTTTGAAATAATTTATTAAAAAATTATTCTATTGCAAATATATTATTTAAAAAAAAATTCGCATGAACTTATTGAAAAAAAAAAAAAAAAGCACATTATTGATATAAATGTTATACTTGATTCACTTAAAAGACCCCTTCCAATTTGGATATATTTTTTAAAATGTCCTAAGTCAAAGTATGGTTTTAAAATGTAGCCTCTGAATAAGTTTTGAGAGCTTCTATATCTATAAATTATAGAAGTTTTCAAAATTTTTAGATACAAAATAATAAAAACTTCTATATCTATAAATTATAAACATTGAAAACATTAAATATAGGACTTTTTAAAATTCTTATTTTTTCGAAATTTTTTTCATATGAAGTAGTTCTAAGAATCTTTATATTTTAATTGTAGGAATTTTGAAAATTTTTATACTTTTAATTTTAATTTAAACCATCTTAAACGATTTTGTTGTCTTCCAAATTTTGTGTATTGTGTGTTTGTTTCTAAAGCAAAATTTCTATTCGAAAGGTCCAACTTCCGGGTATTATTTTTAACTAAATTATTTTAGAGTTTTTATACATTTTTTTTTATATATTGTATATTTGTTGTTTGATTACAAATATAGTGGTATTATTTGTAAGGTTTATATTTATTGTATATTATGTCTATGTATATATTTATGTGCATTTCTTGTGTGTAATAATTTTTTATATATTGCTCATTTTTATAATATATTATTATTCTTATTAGTATTTTATTTAATACATATATTTTTTTTATAGATGAAGCACAGTGACCAAAGCAATATTGATATTCTATTGTATTTGGATGGTAATATTATACGAAAGTCGGATAAAATAAATTATAATTGTGATTCAAAATATATGACAGACTATTTACAAAGTTTGATTTATAATTTGACCTAGAAGGTGCAATATTATCTGATTTTTAAAATGCCATGTAGTTGGACGAATGAATAAAATAACTAGAGAATGAGGTTTATTACAGTGAATGATATCAATATGCAACACTTTTTAAATCTAAAATATAGTTATCAATGTTTGAAGTTGTTTGTTGAATTTCAACTTATGAAAGAAGCACGGTTGTAGAGACTACATATGTGGATCCCAGCACAAGGCTTGAGCAAACAGACGATGATACACACATACTAGATACAGATTGTAAAGAAGTTGAAAGAAGATAAATCTAGTGAATTATAATCAATATCATGCTCAAATGATGAAATGGAGATATATGAGAACCGTGAAAAATGGAGTGTGGATGCTACTGTATTATGGCAAGAGTCGGGGCCATCGGGATATCCTCAAATATGTACAATACCACATTTAGGTAGTCAAAATGAATATCATTCGATTGAATAATTTCACAAGTTGTGTGAGGAGAAGTTTCAACAAGATATATATGGCACTCTCAATCGTAGATGGAGATGTTTACACAAAAAGTAGCGGTGCTCTTATTTTTGGGATGGTATTCAAAGATAAAAAAACATATGCAAATGACTGTTAAAAATTATTTAGTTCATGTGGTTGGTAGGGAATATATTGTGACAAAGAACAATAGTATGATTTTCAGAGTAAAATGTAAGCATTATGGAAAAAAATAGTTATGGTTGGAGCATGGAAAAAAATAGTTATGTTTACCGGCACACAAACTATATATCACGACCCAACCTTGTGAACAAACTCGACTTCTTTTCTTTTATGAGGATTAGAGAATATCGGTTCTTGGCCCAAGGGTATTCCTAATTGCGGAGATGACCTATATGATGTGGTGGAGCATAACTGTATCATATAAACCACATTTAGAATGTAGGCAACTAATTACGTTGATGTCTGATCATACGTGTATTCCAGATGATGTATCGTTAGGACACAATGCTTCCCCAACTATACATTTTAGAAAGATTATCATTGGGACATAACACTTAAGTTTTTTGCAAATATGACAAGTGAATCAACCTGACTCTACTGCCATATGAATTTATAAATATGCTACCCATAATAATCAATC